AGTTTATACACGAAATGTATGAGGCAACAAATAACGTTGATACAACTATGGAATTTCTCATAAGGCGCTAGTAACAATTGCTATGTGGCTTGTAAACCGGCTACGTATGTCAAGTATGAGAGTTCCCTATAACTATGGGGATCTAGATCTCACTGGAAACAGGATCTCACCGGAACCGGTATCCCACCGGGATCAGGATCTCACCGGGCTCAAGATCCTACCTGGATCGGGATCTCACCGGAAATGGGATCCCACCGGATTGGGATCTCATTTGGATTGGGATACTACCGGAAACGGGATCTCATCGGGATCATGATCTTATCGGGATCCCACCATAACCGGGATTCTACTGGGATTGGGATCCACCATGACTGGGATTCTACTTGGATAAGGATCCACCATGACCGGGATTCTATCGGGATACCACCATGACCAGAATTCTACAGGAATTGGAATCCCATCATGATCCTTCCGGAGAACGGGATGCCATCGGAAAACAGGCAAAACGAAAGGTTTACATAAGTTATTTTAAGTGTTTTTATGGAGACAAATTAATATTTTTTTTTAATATAGTGGTGTTGTTTTGTTGTTGAAATTTTGCTTAATAACAATGTGAATTAAAAGGAAGTAGCAGATGTTTTTTTAGGAATGCAATTCTGGGCAACTCCGGTTATATTTTATCGTAAAATTATAAAATAAATACAACATATTTATTTTGACCAAGATTCATCCAATTGGGCAACTTTTATAACGTATCTTTAAGACAGAAGAGTTATCCTTGATTTACCACAATGGCTCTGTAAAAGACAAAAGATTCAAGAAAATTTACTTTTTTTATCTTGTAAAATTTGTTTAATTATTGTTATATTCCAATAAAAAGATGGTATTTTACTTTTAAAATACTTTTTATAAAGAATTAACATAAGTTTACATGCGAAAATACGAAACTCAAATTGAAATAATATACCCACCTGAACTCCACTTTTACCAGGCTAAATTAGGTACTTCGGTAAAGCAAGGGACACTCCAAGAAAATTTGCATCAGAAATGGGTGTCGGGGCAATGAAATCAGGGTTTTAATTTTTTATGTTCGTGTAATTTTAATAAAACAGGAGTCCTTTTGGCCCATAATTAAGATCTGACTTCACCCATTCACATTAGGAGAAATGTTGACCTACATTCCCAGTCAGCATTGGTGGCAGAACAATCACCAATCTACGCTTTACGGACGACATAGACGGACTGGCTGGGAACGAAGAAGAGCTAGCCAACCTGGTAAAGCATTTCGATAAGACCTCGTCGTCCTACGGCATGCTAATCAGTGCCGAAAAGACAAAACTGATGACAAATAATACCACAGGCATCACCGCTGAAATTGAGGTCGGGGAGGAAAGACTAGAGACTGAAGGCAGCTTCAAATACCTAGGAGCAATAGTGTCAGAAGAGGGCTCCAAGCCGAACTGATGTCCAGGATTGCGCAGACTACAACAGCACTAAAGAGGCTCAAGAAAGTATGGAATGACAAAAATATAGCCCCCAGCACCAAAATCAGGCTGATGCGCTCATTAGTCCCCTCCATTTTCCTGTATGCTTGCAAATCCTGGAAATTAACAGCCGATCTTGAAAGGAAAATAAAGGCGATGGAGATGAGATGCTTCAGAAGCATTTTTGGCATTTGCTATAGGGACCATATCTCCAATGATACAGTGAAAGAAAGGGTTCGCCAGGCAATTGGGGAGTACGATGACCTACTGGTGACTGTGAAAAAACACAAACTACAATGGGAAGGCCACGTAACAAGGAAACAAGTGCTTGCCAAAGAAATATTGCAGGGCACCACAAGAGGAGGGAGAAGAAGAGGAAGACAAAGATGTGAGGATAACATCAAAGAGTTGACAAGACTAACACTGGGCGATGCTGTGCGTAGTGCAGAAGACGAATGGAGGAGGCTAGTTCACATTTCATCCGTGGCGCCCCAACTGTTCAAGGACTAAGGGACACGATGATGATGATGATGATACATGTGCAAAATTTCAGGTCACACAGGCCATTTTGGATTAGTGATCACACCCCCTTTTAAATAGCAGAAAACGCCAATACTTAGCTTAGGAAATATTCAATTATTACCACTATGTACTACATCAAAATCTTTGATAACTTATGTTTCAGAAAGCATTTTGAAGACATTTAAATTTAAACTGGAATGTTTTAATTTGAGCTTTAAAAACCCAGTAGAGTCCATGCTATTAATGATCAGAATTTTCCTTGTGCAAAACGTTGTCATGGGCAACCATTCACAAACACTTGCATAATGGCTATACCGTATTACTACCTCATAGTTTCATTCATAAGAGTTTGCCGTGTGCAAAAACTATTAAACCATTGGTCAGGCAAAGCTTTAATTAATTAGTCATGTGCCATAGTGAAAAGTTCGAAATAATTAATCCCCCCCAAACAGTATTTTAATAATAAAGGGATGCGTTGCCTAATATAGATTATATAGCGTATACTGGTATAATTAAAGCCTTAGATTTGGTAAACAGAAAAGCCATATATTAATACATTATATTAAATTTACTGATACTGATATACATAGTGCATAGTTAAATAAGCTACAATTTTTTAATATTTCTGAAATTTAAAGTCATATAAAATTATCAATAAAACAATACTTAAATAGCTTGTGACACGAACAGCGGAATCGGGTCCCAGAATGTGGAGAGGAGGTCCATGTTAAAAAAGGACAAACAAAGTCGTACTTTAAAAGTTCATAACTTTAAAACTATAACAGCTAAAAATATGATTTTGGTGTTATAATGCTGTAAAAAAAATTAGCTCTATTCAACTGTGCCATTGGTTTATTTTTGCTAACATTTTAAATTTTTTATCAAAGTAGGCCTACCTAGGCTAAATTTAATTTAATAAGTGAGCTAATTTTTATTCTTATTTATTTTTTAGGTAAATTTTGAGCTAACGGTATTTGGTTCGGGTTTGACAAGAGTTGTCTCACCCTAAAAACGGTGACGTCACTTTATAGAATCCCAACATTGGACTTGAGTGGGTGTTCCACAGTATATAGTCTAGATCACAGGGGTTACCCCAGGACAACTACTGTCTACGGCGTCATACTGAAAAAAAAATATTTTGATGTTTGTATTGCATTCAAATAATGCAAGTTTTAGTTTTCTTGTGTTATGTTTTTAAAATTGGGGCCCCACCCCAGTCCTAGAAGATCATTCGAAATGCAATTTAAGCAGTAGTCTCCCTTTTGTTACTGAGGTTTTAGCATGCGGGTGTTTCGATTTTCAACTCATCAAAATACAGCACTTTTGGCAAGCATCTTTTTTTCATCAGCAAGAATATGTTCTTTTTTACTTTCTTTTGAAACGTGTAAGTTAAATTTTAATACAAATTAATGGAGAATTTCATTTTAATATACTTCATATTAAAAGTATCGTTTATGACGCAAGTAATTCTCAGTAAAGAACAGTAATTTTATCACACTCAACGTTCGGGTCCTACAATTAATAGGTCTATCTATTTACCCGAAGTCCAGTTTTGGAATTTCACTGCGCTTAGAGTGAGTCAACTGTAGACAAAACAGCTAATCCATCTTTACACTGGTCTGTATTTGAAGGACCACACTTCATAGTCTCTATGTCCACAAGCCTGACATTAATAGTAAAGCTTTAAAGTAGATCAGTTGGTATCTGCACTACCAGTACATAGACTTCAAGAAAGAAATAAACACACCAGGTGTTATTATGGATTTCTGATGTTTACTTCTTCTTCTAATTTCAATCTAAATCACAGTTTTCCAAATCATTATCCCTCTTACTCACAAAAACTCATCCACCTTATAAATTATATTACTTTCGTTCACTCTCTGACTCTCAACCCATTGCCAGTCAGACCTGGCTGACTCAGATACACAGAATCATATCATAGCACAATTGAAAAAATGCTTTAGCTCGAATACCTAATGATGTACATGTCATGAACACTAACAAAAACATGTTAATGTAATCTGACTGTGACAACAGAGTATAAAATATATCATTAAATTTGCAACTCTCGTTGAAATAATTTCTGGATGCTGAATAGGTTAATCATAGGCATGCTCATTTATTGATTTAAGAAGTAATCCTACGGAAGTGACATAGTTGACATACCTTATACTTAATTTGTTATATATTTGTTGTTACTGTTAGTAAGCCTTCCAACCCCCAGTGCATGATTCCCTCACAAAGTAGCACTTGCAATCAGTGAAATATCATCATAAACACCAGGCACAGAAACATTGCAAATCCCCTCTACATGCATAGGAGCCAAAATGATCAATAAATTGATCATGGGCCCTTAATATATAGAAGAAGAAGAAGAAGTGCTCTATCTCAGGAGTCTAATTCAAATATATCTGACTTTGATGGACATGCACAAATACCATGCCTGGAATCCAGGAAATAACTAGCTGTAAGCTTTTCAGAGACTAAAATTATCTATCACAATTCACAGTGGCCCATGACTATAGCCTCATAATTTTGTAGGCCTATAACTTGGCAGGTATTAAGGGAATTTAAAAACAACATTCTTTAAAAATTATAACCAGTGACATCAAAATTTTACTAATCCTGTGTAAGCTACACTATATAAATAGAGCTTTACGGTTGGTTATCTGCTCCCAGTACTCTGGTACACTTCATTGAGTAAGCTAGAGTGGTTCCAAAATTAATAAAGACTTTGAATGACGAATCAGATGTCAGAAAACATTAACATGTCTAAGAAAACTAATTTTGCTGTTACGATGAATGCAATTTTTGGTCCATTATATAATAGTCAGACCATTTTCTGTTGTGTTATGGCTGTTTATTTCCAAGTCTTAATTACTAAGTGGGCCTAACGGTCAATTAATTTAGTAGAGAAGTTAGGTATATTAAGTATTGCTTCTATAATTTATAATTTTTATGTAACTTATTTTTTATCTTGAACATTTTAATTTCAGTCGACAAACAAAACTATGTCAAGCAAGCAGACAAGCTTTTTGATGAAGCTCATGAATTAGTAAGTTACTGGTATGGTAGTAAGGATCTTAAATGTATAGATAGGCTTTATGTAAATACATATGCCTTGAATTTACAAGTCATAAATACCCACTGTTGAGCCGGTGCTCTAAAAATAATTGCTAAAATTTATTGCTTTCAAAAGTTGCTTACACCATTAGCATGTTAAATTAATAATAGCTTTATGTATTTCTATTTAAAATTACTGATGAAGTTACAGCCAGTTAAATATACCCAGTACCGGCTACTCATTTTCTTTGCATGATAAAGCTGGAGATAATAGACATTTGAACAGAAAATATTTTACTATTTGCTAAGTATAATGCATTTAGCACTAATTAACAAATAGCAAAGGATCAGGATGCAAGTAGCAGGTTATCATTGACAGCAAGCAACTGAATTATAAAATCTACATAAAATTTAAACATAATGTTAATCAACACTTTATGCAACTTTATATTATATGTTTTATCAGCTGGAGCAGATGGAATTGGAAGTCAAGGAGCTTGATCAGAAAGACAGACAGAAGTACCACACACGTGTGAAAAGTTTTAAGATAGAACTCACAAAGCTACAAACAGATCTGGTTTGTTTGGATTTTAATCATAAACATCTAGTTTATGGGTTTAAAGCAGTGGTTCCCAAACTTTTAAGTTTGGCGGACCGGTGAACAAGTTTCAAAATTTTACCAGGGACTGGTGCATGATTTATTTTTATACTTTTATTTCTATTTGACAATAAATATTTATCTTATGGGGACCAGCAGCGTTAGGCATGCGGACGGGTAAAGGTCCACGGACCGCCATTTGGGAACCATTGGTTTAAAGTACCCGTATTATCCCCACAGTTTCATCCCTTTGGAATTCAGCACAATGTAATATAAATACACTCAATAGACCTTTTGCAGTCAAAAACAGATCATTTGTGAATTTTTTAAAATTATTTTTTTGCATGGCTTTTTCATTTGAAGAGAAAATAACTTGATTACTAAACCAACTATTGTTATAACATTTTCTTGTAGAAAAGAGCAAAACTGGGGATTGATGCCAACAGAGATGAACTTCTTGGAGATGATACACATGATTCTGAGGATCAGGTAATACTATACAAAAAATTCATTCATTGTGACTGTTTCTGGTAAGCAACCAACTACTGGTACCTGCAAGTTGCATTCATCAAAGTACAATAGTTCATAATGCCACACACTGGTCATTAGCCACCAGCTTGGATAATACTATGATTCATTCAGTCATACCAGTCAGCCTCTTGCTTGGAACGTACTATGATTTAAAAAGGTCTACGAGTAATGAGCCATCTGCTTTGATAGTACTATGATTTAAACAAGTCTTTCAGCCTCGGAATAATTGACACCAGCACTTTTAGGTGGGGAGGTCCATTTTACCTTTTTTTCTCTTATGTAATTTTTTGGTGGGGCGTGGTTTAACTATTACTTTATTTGACAGAGAGCCAGGCTTTTGGACAATACAGAAACTCTTGAAAGAACAGGACGAAGACTGGATCATGGCTATAGAATAGCAATAGAAACTGGTAAGAACATTTTATTCAATGCTAATGTTATTGAATTTTGAAACTTCAATGAACCCTTTTTAAAAATCTGCCTTACAACATTGGAAGGTGGGCGGGGTGTATAAAGTCTCTGTCTCATTATCATACTCCAGAATACTGGTACCGGTACTAGAAAGGTATCAAAAGAAATACAGATTGACCCATGGTAGTTGAGTATTAATGAGAATAGGCCAACCAAGTTGTTTAGATTAGCGATTGCCAACCTGTGGTACATGTATTCCTGTGAGTACGTCATGGGCCGCTTGGCTTGGAGGAGCGAAAAATTATATTAATTTTTAAAAAGTGAAAAATGGCACTCAAAAAATGATTCTCTTTTACTTCTGTTTTGTTACAAGAAACTATTTCAATATTTAGCAATAAATCAACAACAAATTTTATCCACAAAAATATTTTTTTCCGAATAAAATTAATAATGAGAAAACCATATTGTATTAGTATTACAATCAGATGTTGATAATTTTTATTGAGTTTTCCTGTTTATGGCCAAATATTATATTGTAATGTTTACTTTTGTGGGTTTTTTTTTTTAACTATGTTACTGGCAACCATTTTTTTCTATTTAGTTTATCATAAGAGAATTCTCATCTTATACATATGGAACATTAGAATAACTATTGCAATAAGTTTGACACAGTTCCTAATTTGAGACTGATTTTTTTAAAAACTAGGATCCATGAAACAAACTCAGGATCACATTAAAACTATTAAAAGCCTCATTGGACCATTTGCATACAAGATAAATAAATTAAATGTTATTTTAAAGTTAATTAATAATTATTGTAATAACATTAAAATTTAATGTTTGTAACAGTCAAAAGTTTTAAATATTGTTTTTTTTAATTGTAAAATAGAAACTGAAAAACATATACATTTTTTTTTATTTACTGGTATTTTAAAAAAAATTATATAATTTTTTAAGGATGAGTGGGGTGGGGGGTAAGGGAGGAGGTGTCATCATAATAAAAAGTCTAATCAAGGTATACAGGGTAACAAAAAGTGTTAGGAACAGCTGCTTTAGATGATGACATTTTCTTGTTCTAATGATTAATCACGGTCATCTTGTAAATTTTATTTTTAATTGTTTAAATAGTAATGGTGCCATACCAAAGCGATTCTTGTCTGTGCATTGACTAGAAAATGTTTTGAAATGTATCAGTCACAGGGTTCTCGTAGCAGCTAAACTAAAAACATAATCTAAGCTATCTAGGCGTGGTTCATTTACAAAAACATACATTTTACAACATTAAGTGAAACCTTGATGTTCAACATTGTTGAACCTGAATAACATACTCTTAAAATATTGTATTCAATGCTCAAGTATATTAATTGGCAAGTCTTAAATTTTTATATTAAATTTAAAAGAAGAAACAATTTCTTTTAGTTTGATTGCAAGTCATTTCTGAAGCAGTTACAAATATCTCTTACATCCTATATTATGTGAAAAATGTGTTCCTATATCCTGACAGAAGCTAATCAAATGTGAAATTTGATAAAGAACACTTTTTAAGCTAAAACACTTCCAAAATCTTTAACTTTTAACAGCAACATGCCACTGACCAAGATTAGTTTTACCTCTCCTCACTTCCCCCCATACCAATAAAATTAAATATGTGTTTTTTGCTCACCATCGACACACTTTATTCCAGAACAAATTGGAGGCCAGATCATGGAAGATCTCCATCATCAAAGACAAACAATTAACAGGTCCAGAGGAAGGGTAAGACATTTAACAAAGCTATACTTCTAAACATTTACTTTTAGATACGGTATCAAGGTGTCTCTAAAGTTTGACTTTTAGATATCAAGATACAGGTTATTTCTAGCGATTTCAAATTGAAGCAAGGCTTACTATGAAGGTTTAAACTGTTGTCACAGTCCGTAAAGAGAGAATCTATGAATGTTAAGGGTATTTTGCAACAGTGAAATAACAAGTAAATATTTGCATAGTCGAAAAACTCCTAGCACATTTATTTTAAATGTACAGTGTAACACACTGCTACTCTGACATGGCGTGGGATGGTTATTTCTTATGCTGTGGGTTATGTCAGTAGTATGGTTACTTATATTAACACTTCAGGATGCCGACTCAGTCTTCTTCATTCTTTCACTTATTATTCAGGCACGTAAAGAAGAATACTCAATTCTAGTTAAAACTCACAGTACTTTATTGAACACACTTTATATTGATAATATTAATAAATAATCCTTGCATGAATGTAATTTCACATATATATCTATAGTATTCCATCATTAAGAAAGACACGTCCTCACACTAAACTGTCAACTGTCTAATCACACAGCTCTCACGCTACTGACTCTACTGCTCTGCGCTCAGCTCTCTACTATCTCAGTCAACTCATACTTTATTACCAGCAAAGCGTGCAAAACAACCGCTCTGACAAAAACATAATTTTACTCTCCAAAAACGTGGAGTTCACATTTGTTCTCAAAAATACAATCCACATTGATTGTCTCTCCCCGTGGAAAAACCTGGTGAACACACTCACTGTCCACTCATGCTACCTCTCTGTTTACATGTGAAAACATAGTCCGTTACATGCCCCACCCATCTGAAAAAATTTTGTGCAACAAAATTTTTGGCACAAAATAATATGCTGAAATAATGATAATGTCTCTTAGAAATTTTCAATCCCACATCTAACAATCAAATCAGTGTAACAACATTAACATTTCATCATTATGAAATACAGAGTCTTTTACTGTTAATATCACACTTAATAGTGAATAATTTACCCTGGCAAAAAATTAAAAAATCACCAATGACAACCTCTTAAAATCTTTATGTATGATAATGTGAAGTGACATTAACATCTTAATGAATAATAAACACTGCAAAATGAATGTAACAATCTTAAATTTTGCATTAGAAAATTTACAATCGGTTAAAATCTGATATTCATTTACAAAAATTGATATGTACAAGTGTCTTATCAAAAAACTGAGTGAACGTATGTGTGTATATTCATTTAGAATGTCTGACTAATGTGTCTTAAGTCAGTGTCTTTGTCATTGTCTGCATGTTCAATGTGTCTGGAAAGGAAATCAGCTACTGTATTGTCTTTTCCTTTTATTGTCCTTATCTCATACTGATAATCTAATAGTATCAACGACCATCTGTTTATTTTACTATTCGCTATTTTCTTTCTATTTAGTGCCATTAATGGCTTGTGATCAGTCAATAATGTAAATTTTCTGCCTAATAGATATTTCTGTAGTTTGGTAAGTGCCCACACAATTGCTAAGCATTCTTTTTCAATGGTTGAGTAGTTAATTTCAGTTCTGCTTAATGCTCTACTTAAATAGGTAATGGGTCTTAATTTATGATTGTATTCTTGCATAAGGCAAGCTCCTAATCCAATGTTGGAGGCGTCTGTAACTAGAGTGAAAGATTGTTTAAAATTGGGTGATAACAATATGTTGTCACTTTGGAAAATTTCTTTGATTGTTCTCAGTGTATTTTCGCATTCATCCGTCCATACTATTTGTTTCTTGCTATCTTTATTTATTAGTTTCCTTAAGGGTAGTGTAACATCAGAAAATTTTGGAACAAAAGTGCTGTAAAAATTGCACAAACCTAAAATGGCTTTTACTTCTTTCTGAGTGTGTGGTGTTTTTATATTTAGTATTTTTCCTCTGTTGTGTTCTGTGGGCTGAATTGTGTTTTTACCGACTTTAAATCCTAAAAATTCAATGTCCTCTTGTGCAAACTTTAATTTGTTTGGTGCTATTGTAACTCCATGTGCTCTTAATTTGTTTAGTACTGTTTTTATAGTCTCTAAATGTGTCTTCATATCCTTAGTGTGAATACAGATGTCATCGACAAAATGTACGACATTTGGTATGCCTTCTAGCATGATTCGCATGAATCGAGAAAATGTTGCGGTGGAATTTATCATGTACTTTAAGATCTCTGAGGTATCTATGTGTATTCTTTATATGTCTTTGTCTTTTAGACTCCCTATCAGTGTTTTCTTTAGCATTTTCTATGCCATATGTAATTCTCTCTCTGATTTTTGTAATTATGTCAAATGTGTCTTGTTGTGTGCCTTTCTGGCCTAAAATATTTTCTTTAAAAAGAGTTAACGGTCCCTTTGGATTGGCCCCAAACATTAGCTCAAATGGAGAGTACCCAGTGGTGTCTTGTATACTCTCTCTATAGGCGAATAAGACCATTGGTATATATAGGTGCCATTCTCTAGGGTGGTCTATTGTTGTTTTGTTTAACATAGTTTTTAGTGTCTTGTTCCATCTTTCTACCATACCATTAGCCTGTGGTCTATATATTGTGGAATGTACTTGTATTATACCTAGCATTTTTGTAACTGCATTGGTTAAGTTGGAAGTAAACTGTGTTCCATTATCTGACAATATTTTATCAGGGAACCCATGTCTTG